CTCGTTCCTTGTCCAGCCTCGAGCAATAACCGTGGTTGGTACATTATTACGATTGCACTCGCAACCCTGGCTGATAGAAAAATGGATGTGGTTAGTCTTTTTAGAGATTATAAATTTTTTCTCTTTATAGGTACAGAGGCTATCAAAGTTAAAACAGTTAGCATTGGAGCAGGAAAACCGCTGGTCACTGTACCTTCTTAAAAATGAAACATAATATTCTCATGTTGGAGGTTGCTTGTATTGTAAAATTGAATAGGGTGTAACAGGAAATAAATCTCAGAAACCATTGATTTGTGAGAAACAAACTCTTTGAGTGCGGGGCGTGGAAGGTCACAGTCGGTTCACGCAATCATCTGTTGGTCCAAGCCATAAGCTGGGGCGAAAAAATGGCCACTGCGCGTAGGCATACAAACGTTTGAATAGTCTTTTTTTAATAGCTTTTGTAGGCTAATGTTTTATCTTGGCAATTTTATTTCTTATTGAGTTTACAGTTCTTACTGATTTTTTACTAATAAAATAAATTGTTAGATCGTTATTTATTTTTCATTTATTTATCATAACACTAAGGTATGCATATAAATCAAGTCCCACAAAACCGTTGCATTGTGTTTAATGTGGATTGTTGTTTCTTACAAAATGAGTCAGTTAGGTATAATAAAATTCTATTACTGTTTCTAATATTTAGTAGATCCTTGATTTTTTTTCATTTTTACCCTCATTTTTCTTATGACTTGCAATTGATAAGTCTACGTAATAGATAACGCATTGATCAAGTGTAAGTACTGGCTGTCAGTGTGGTCGGTCAAACCAATCATTCAGTCAGGCGAGACTAGCCCACATCCGTCAATTTGTATCAAGCATTGTTTTAGCATTATATTATTATAACACCTGCCTACTAATTTCCTTTTTAGGGTACCGTGTTCGGAGAGTGAAGCCGTTATATGCAGTATTTTTGGTTATTCATGTAATTTTGATTATGATGTATTATGTAAAAATAGTCGTATTTGGTGAACCTAAATGGCATCTATTCTATTAGGGAATTCTGAGTTAGAAAGCCTGATTAAACCTATAATATGCACAACTTTAGAATAAGTGCTGAGAGAAATAGAGAAAGCAAAAAAGTCGTCGGATCAATTGCAGTAAAAATATTGGTTTGAATATTATTGTAAAATTATTTATCATTATTGTAAGTGTGGGAGAGCCAAGCTTCGGCACGAATGGGTCGGCTCGGCCGGAGTGATACCACGACCTCACAGAAAACCGGCGTGAAACTACCACATCGTTGTGTTTCGCCATGTGAGTGAGTTTACCGGAGGCCAAATCCCTCCCTCTGCGCCATCCCTTCCCAATCCATAAATATCCAAAACCTTTATCCATAAAAGGCCGGCAACGCACTCGTAACTCCTTTGGAGTTGCGGGTGTTTATAGGCGGGGCTGATTGCTTACCATCAGGTAAAACGTTTGCTTGTTTGCCGACCTATACCGTAAAAAATACATTTACAAATTATGGAAAAACTAGAAAATTGCTCCGTTGAACCTCTTTCCCAAGTTTATTTCACTCTTAGCTCTTGACTAATGTACAGTTGTTCTCGACGCCATCATTCTGACGGAAGTTTCACTGAGCGATAATGAATTTGGTGTAGATATCATTACGGTCCGATACAATCGCAAAGGTTAATCTAATCATGGCGCCAAAACACGTGTGAATGGCGAAGAAAGTAAAAGTGATGCGGAAATTGTTCTGTTGATGTGTCCGTCCGATGAGCTGTGGGAACGGAGCCATGCGATACATATTATTAGGTAGATATGTTTGTTAGGATCTAATAACATGATCTGCATGTTTATTTATAAGAAAATATATCCCATTGGTGTTAGTGCCATCTTGCCTTGTAATTGATGTTTATACCTTCTTATTGTGAGAAGAGGCCTTTGCTCCTTTGCAGAAGGATAAGGATGCTAATGATGATGATGAGGATAAATTGTGTGATTTGTATTTGTATAGTCTGATAATACCTAATTTTATATTAAGTATACAAAGAACAAACAAAATAAATATAGAAAACTGCTTAGAAGGGACGAGAAACTGTTGAATACGCCACGTTTTTGAACATTAGAATTTTATTTCTGCGCAATGCAAGCAACAAGTTGCTTAGTGCTGCAAAACAGACAGACTACTAAGCTGGATTCAAAGCGGCTACGTTTATATATGTACATTTGTGACGCTAGACGATATCGATTTTGTTACCTCAGCTCTAGACGATAAGCATTGCAGTAGATTTTTCATAAATGCGCTATAAAAGTAAAAAAAATATTACGAAACATGCTTAACTTTCCATCGTAGTAAAGAATAATAGGTGCGCGAACGCCGGCGCTCGCTTGGGATTTGATGAGCTAAGCAGCAACATGCAGATATATTTAGGTAAAATCTTTATCAAATGTTTTAACTCACAAATATATTGTGAAACTTTTAATGGAGTATTAAATCAGTTGAAGCATGATAAAAAACATACCTTCAAATACCTGCATTCTGCTTAAGTAGCAAATTTTAACTAACTTTCTACCTTCCTTTCCTACTAGTTCATGTGTCATTAAACTAATGTTCAAAGGCTTTTTTTTTGTGAGCGGAAAATCATCAAATGACTTCTCCCGTCCAGGGCCGGGCAGGAGGGAGTGTCAGACTCTTACTGACTAAAAACCCCCCTGTTCCTCCTCCTGCTTCTTCTCCTGCTGTGCTGAGGTCGCGGTACCTCATTGCGCTTACCCCGCAGGCCCGGCTGAACATCAGCCCTTTAGGGCCCCGTCTGTGGTGGTTGAATGGCTCTTTGAGGCGCGCGCGGAACGCTACGCGCCGTACGCTCGGGCCTGGTTCTGGTCGGGCGGCGAGCTGCCCTTACTCGCCGACCGCAGGCCCGTGCTTACGGTGGCCGGAGATCGTCCCTCGATCCCCGACGCCCGTAGTGTCGCCAGTTGCGGCTGTTGGGGCGTGAGGAGGAGGATTGCTCCCTCACGCGGGCCGCCTCTCTCTTTGCGAGCATGACTGCTTCACAAAAGGAGGAGACAGCGTCCCAGTTCCTCTCACTCCGCACCATGGCCTCGACTAAGGCCGGGCGCGAGAGGTCGCCGCCGCCGATCACTTCCCCGAGGATACGGCGGTGCTCAGCCCAGGCAGGGCATACCGCTACCGTATGCTCCACCGTATCCTCTAAGTTCAAAGGCTAACCTATCAATATAGTAAGATAAAGATAACCCAAATATTTAACAACCCTTTCCCTTCAAGATCCCAATTTTACTGATGCATTTTATTTTGACTATTATGTTCATAAAACATTGTGTGTTAAATATGTAAATACTGTCGGTATTTATCTAAGATTAATGGATTTTAATTCTTATACATCTTTATATAAAACACATACTCAACATGATTAAGATCTTTTAGCACTTGTCGCGCGATACACACATCAATTTGCGCGGACGAGTAATCTCTTAAGCACATCGAATTATTCCACGTACCCACTTTGAGTGGTTTTTAATGAGACCACTTCATTAACTTGAGGGCGGGGTAGGCTATCGATTTTGTCTTATAATTGAGGATTATTAACTTTTCCTTTAAATACTTCATTATAATAAAAGCTTATACTAATTACAGCTTTAATCTTGTTTTATCCTTTTGTCCTGGTTCTTGTTTTCTGTACCAGTACATTGACCATTATTTACATCTATACTTTTTTATTGTTTATATTTTAAATTTATATTATATTGCTAATTCATTAATTCGTTTCGAAGCCTTTATTACCAAAAGTACTGGTTCGAATTGAACTATTTGATGGAGGCTATAGGCTATAAAACGTAATACTATGTTCAATGGGAGCCGAGCACCAGGTGTGGGAGTAGCTCGTATTAATTCATCAAACTCCAAGCGAACGCGCATTCGCGCATCTATTTTTCTTCTATTGTGTCTCGAATGAAATATCCATTATGTCGCTGATGATGTTTGGTTATATTATGTATTCATGACCTTGATACGTATCACATCATATGTTTTTATCATTATCAGTTTTTCCTATCCAACATTATCTTGATCGAAAGTCTCTCGGCTGTTTATCTTCGTTGTTTGAATAGCATTATAGAAAGATGACGTCGGCGCCGAATCTAATAACAGCTGATGTTTTCTTTAGCATTTTATATCATGCTTACGATTGTGAAAGGAGAAATAATGGGATGATTATATTATTACGTATGAAAGTTTTGCCGTCTTTATGGTTTCGAAACTTTTAAGGTAGCCTTACCGTTTACAATTCCTGAAGTTGGAAAAGCTGGCTTTCTATTATTTGGGGCACAAAACGCAAATCTGTCTTCTGATTTAAGTGTCTTGTATATATGTTATAGCAAAACCGCCCTGAAACAACGTCCACTTTGTATCGCGGGCTGAGTGAATTTACCAGAGATCCAATAATTTCCCTCATTTTGAATCCGCACGTCCCTAATAACCTACAAACGGCTCGCACTTTTAACTCCTTTGGTGTTGAGGGTGTCAGCTCGTTGGCCGAGCTATTCCAATAAAAAAGTCTTTTACCTAATTAACTCATGATGAGCTGGCGCTCAATTCAAAATATTAAACAAATATTTAAGGTTCTGTTTGATTCGTTTTTACGTATGCCACGTAACGAAAATTATTTATTTTCCAAACTATACAATATCACAATGCAGTCTGAGACCATCACCTACATAATAATGAAACAGTTACGTATCGCAGCGATGATTTCAAAGGTCTATGATTTGATATGTGACTAATGTTTTATCCCATTGTTACAGGTGAGTACCTACACCAAATTATGCATTCAGACGGCATCCACTAACAAAAATAGAGGACCCACAATTGAAGACCAGTAATGCACGTAAGTACTGATAGTTGTTTTCTACAACTATTTTCTCTGTCGTGCCGTGACATCGCTACCTACTTCGGATCAGCGGCTGCGATTTCGATCCGCGCCGGTCGATCGCGGGTGCGTGCGCGCAGCCGCGCAGTCACCTGCCGCGTGCACCGACCGCAACACGTCGCGACCGCGAGATGCCGCCATTCGCGTCTAAACGATCTATTCTGCTCATTTTTTGAATTGACGATTTAGGCGCCAAATGTTTTAATTTATTTTGGTGGACAGTGCTTTCTGTGGTTATCTGTGCGCGAGTTATTTTCCTTTGAGGCCTTTGGACATGGTTTAACTTTTTCTTGTTGCATGGTAAAGTTGTTTTTGATTTTATTTACGCGATGCAGTTGGTGAAACAAAACTATATTATTTTATTTTATTTGCACCGGTACCTGTACATTTTTTAAAGAGAATTAATAATTAATTACTTCTGTATCAAAATATTTCTCAGTTTTGTTTCATGACAATTGCTTTGTTTCATTTTAGGGCAATGAACTTTAATTTCTGAAATATCTCTTAGTCAAATATTTTGAGGACCCGTGAGACTCTTATGATAAAAAATATGTTTGCTTAAATCGTTGAAATGCAAAATATGTAGATGATTATTAACACTTTAAATATACATTACAGTTAGAATTTGCAAGTACCCTCATTTGCATATGCAAATAGGCATTCGGGGAAGACTATTCTCATGATTGTTATGATAAATATCGGTCGTGTGTTCCATCGATTAATTCCAATTAGTCTCAGACATTGTTTTCCTTTAGCGAACCGGTTTTTTTTTTAATATTTTAAATTCCTATTTGTTTTACTAATGATAAAGGAAGTTTAACGACGAGTTCAGCGTGTAATTATTATACCTTTATGTTTTTCTTTTCTAATGGAATCAACCCGCATATCAAAATTGCTTTTAAAAATCTCGAACTGTTGTTCTACTAAAGCTATATTTATGTGGGTAATTTCCAAGAAATTACTTCGTAATGGGACCTTGATACCGATATTTGTAGTTTGAAAAATGGCAATACCATCTGTTATTGTAATTGTACAATTGAGGCCCATTCGCCCTAACCTTTCGGCGTTGGTATGCACTTGCGACACACTGTGCAGCAACGCATGCAAGCGGGGTAATTTTACACGACTCCTCACTTAATGGCCCACTGTGCCTATTCTCTATTCGTCAGTCAATATTGGCCCTTTTGTTTATTTGATGTTGAACACATTTCATATATGGCCATCGTCTTCATCCCCTTTTTTTCGAAGAGAGTACTTCTCGTACTAGTTTTTAATATATAGTGTACTATGTATTTTTCTAACTGTAATTGTATTTCTCTAATAAGCAAGTAGCTAGTATATAAAACAATTGTTCATGTTTTATCAAAATGTCTGGTATGTTTATAAAGATTAAATAAAAAAACAGAAATATGTTACTGTTGAAACTCTGTTAAAAAGCAAGTAGGTACTTATAATTTTTCAAAGCAATGTACCTACTAGTATAGTTTTCGAAAATTAAGAACCTACTAACCAAATAATTAAGAACCAGTTCCACATTAGTTATAATTCGACTATACAGGTGTCGGAAAAATTGCTACATTAGGTAGGATATCTTATGATATTGATTTTACAAGATTTATCAGAGACATGTGAAGTTATCAGCATCTTGATGCATGACATGACACGTATATTATTAGTTGGTTTGTTTATTTATTTTTTGAATGTTCACCACATACAATTGTTCTGACGTTTGCCAAATTTTCAAAGAAAAGTATACCGTTGCCAATCCTTTTGTTAGAAAAGGGAAATTTCTTAAGTCTACATAAGTTAAAGGTTAGAATAGTTAGTTAACTCTTTTCAATGTTGAGCATTTAGTTCTGTATCTTAGGAAACTGTACTATCTCAAATTGGTTCTTTTTTTAAATAGCGGTGCCACGTGGTTTCACCCGTGTTGGGATACTAGGGATGGTGTGGCTTCCCAACAGTAAAAATTTTTTTAAGTAGGTCGAGTAGTTTTGAAGCCCATCAAATGAAATCTATTTCTATTTTCAATATATTTTGTATGTCTCACGATATCTATTAAAAATATCTTTATTTAATAATTTATTGATTTCACTGAATGTTGACGAATACATTCAGTTAATATGTTTATAACATAAAAAAAAAACAGCATAGTCATCTCCTAATGAATAGTGACAAAAAACACCTCAAAATAACGACATAAAAATGAGACGATAAATAAACCATTAAATTAAGTTTGTGTTAACCCACACCGGCGGTTTTGTGGTAATCAAAATAATTGGAAACTCACTCAAAAATGGCGAAATGGTTTATGAAAACTCAGTGTTTTGTATCCAATTTGGACATGCCTGTGGTTACTTTTCGTCATGCGGTAGTGTTGTGCATTCAAATTATCGATAACTTATATAAATTGCCAAATACTAGCAAACTTATTTCGTTCCAAGATTGCCTTGCAAAAGTCATCATCATCACCATGTCCATCAATGCTGGACAGCAAAATGATGATGGATACAGGATTCATCATCCTTGGAGGAATTCCAGATTAGCCGGATTTCTTTGACCTTTACGTAAAATGAGTATATTCTACATACAGAGAAATGTTTATTTAGATAAACGCCTGCTTATTTATATCTATCAAATGCAAAGCGGAACATCTCAATTTAACCTTTCAAACGGGGTAATTCGAGACACAATAGAATAACAATATATGTAGGTCCGCAAACGCCGGCGTTCGCTTGGGGTTTGTTGAATTTAGTTGAATCAGTACACCATCTTTTAATTAGTTGGTTGTTCCTATCGAATTTGTTAGTATTAATGGCATAATTTGCTTTTTTAAATTTCTATTTTCGTTTATTATGTAAACAAAACTAGTTCGTGAGTAAGTAGGTGTTTAGCAGTGCGAAATTAAAACAAGTGCATTCGCATTAGAACATTAATATGTAAATGTTTGTAAATATAATCAGTAATGGTCGAATTGTCTGCTGCAATGGTAATTACGTTTAGATGACGCAATATTTATATTAGACCGGCTTATTAAGGACACACTATAATGATTAATTATAGTTGCTATGCTGTTATAAAATACTGTAACATGCCAGCTCACTTATATAAAATTCAAAGAATAGGTTAAGTAGTTAAAGCTTAAAAAATAACCAAACAAATTTACTCTCGCATTAAGAATATAACTTGGGAATCATAAATTTTCCACCTTGCAAAGAAAGTTGTATATCGGAATCTAATAAATTAATCGTTTGACCCGAAATCGAAGACCTTCGGTTTACAAACACCTACAAGGCGTACCGAAACATGTATTAGTTTAGTGAAAGTGAACTACAACCAAAATCGTTTAACGCAACTAGTGTGCACGCATTCACACCCACACAATGGTCAAGCTTTACGTGTTGACTATAAATAGAGAAACGAATGTTTGCCTCCCATTCAAATGTTAGAAAAAATCCTTTGACAACTTTTTTTACGACTAACAATATTGTATAGTGTTTCGTAACAAATTCATATTTGAACTGTTTCTGTCAATAAAAAAGTCGGTACTTACATACATTTTATTTAAGTTTTTACAAAGAAAGTTATTTGGCAAAAATGACAGATCAATAACATCTTAACAGAATATTAAAGCAAGAAATGACAGTGTTTATAATAGATCTGTTCTTGCCGAAACTAGTTCTTGGCGTGAAAATTAAGGTACTTATATTATCGCAAAGATGACGTAGGGAAACGTGAAAGCGAGTTTCATATCAACGCTGTTTGGTTTTCTAAACACATTGCCAAAATGCTATGAAATTGTGCTCGTATACCTTTCCTTACAATAATACTCTCATTTTCTTCGGAATGTTTACAAAAAGCGAAAAAAGGCTGAACGTCTGGCTTCGTAGACCGGTTCTGTGTTAACGTAACATCAGGAATAAAAAAGAAACGTTTCATTTTGGGATTGTGTAACATCGATTATGAGTTTTGCGTTTAATAAATGATTGGCTTCTCATTGTGTGGATACCTGTTTGTGACAACGATGCATTAATATTACGATTCGATTCCTAGTAACAACAAAACTTGATTCTTGGTTAGCTAAGCTAAGTAATATTCTGTAGGGGTTTGTGGAACTTCTTTATTGTCTTCAACGATTGAAAAAACTTTAAGATGAACAAAACTGTTTCTGAAAAATATTAAGGTTCAAATCTAAAGAATTGTGAGAACAGCCGAAATAATCATAATATTTTTTCACATTGGTCAACCTTTTCAAACTTAGGTAAACCACTTTCTGCAGTTAATTACAATATTTTCATATCAACTTTCCATGTTAGTAAATTATAGGTATTATGTTTATAAAACCTTACGTTGCGACATACATAATTGTATGTATTATTATGTTATTGTATCATTTATTATATTTGTAGGTCAGTTCCAAAGTTCGTAAAACAATCGACGTTTGCATTGAATTGTTAGAAAGTCTAGATTTCAATGAGTTTTTCAAGCATCACCCCTTTATGCACGAGATGGTTATCAAACGATACGCAGTGCAGTTCCTGCAATGTTCCGGTCTACTGTTGCAAAAAATCTTTAGTGAAGGCTTCTTCAGAGTCTATTGTTTCATTCTACAGATGGATTGAAGCGACAAGGCCCACGGACATCCTTTCGTTTCCAAAGCCTCCGTTGCCTTGCCCTTTCATGGCGAGACCTCGCTGGTCAATTCGATTAATGTTTTGACCTTTTTCCGTTTTATATGACCCGTCCCTTTAGTGGTATTGTTTACCAATGACAAATTTAATTTATACCGCTACTTGTCTTTGTTGAATAAATATGCGTCGGATTCGCTGGAGCTTCTGTCTGTCTCTAGTTTTATACGGCGCTCGTAAAATATTTAGAAACGTTGTTTGGGCAGTCGATGCTCATTTGTTTTTCCGGTTGAACGATTATTGACCTTTCACCGTGTTCCCCATATACAAAGCTCTTGGCTTGTTTTCCTACTTAAATACCATAAACTATTGATGCCGCAAATAGTTTAATTATATCCATTAAGAATTTTTTATTTGAAAATATCGTTTGGTTACATTAATATGCAACGAGATGATATAACTAATATGTCAGCAATTTATAGAATATATGCAAGAATCTGGTGAAATTGTTCTTATAAAATGGCGATTTCACTGTTGGTTTTAAAAATTTGCATTTAATTGTCATTGGCGCGGGGAAGCGTGGTGGCTGTAATAGTTAGTTTATGCAAGATTTTGCAAAATTATGCTGCATTGTGTATTTGATTGGAAGAACTGTTTGATTGTGTAGTGTTTTAATTGGCTTACTTTATGTAACTCAACAAATGAAATTCTATATATTTTGAAAACGTTCCCAATCACCCAAACAAATAGTTTTTTAGCCATGACTGTGTTTACCATTATTAGTGAGATTTGTATGTGTAACTTTTCATCAATATTATTTTTTTTCAACTTGATCACTATTTACTTCTACTCACTCCCAATCCACAGACGCAATTGCATTTGCATGTTTCTGAAACTGATCAGCAATTTGCACTCCATTCCGATTGATCAATTCTGTACGTAATTTGGTAACGTTTGTTTCGTAAAATTTCATTATAGTATCTAATTATTCGTATCGATTGACTCAGTTGATTGTTATCAGTCGGTAATGATTCGCGCCAGTACTGTCTTCGAGTGCTGTTCATGTGTGATAATCACATGCAAATTATTCCTTGTTAACTAGTTCAACATGTCCGTGCTTGTTGCCCCTAATTTGAAGCCTTTGTGCACTTAGACTTGATCGTTTGAACTGATGTTTTGTGTCGGTATTGTGGTTCGTCTGATTTTTAAAATACAAATTAGTAAATATCAATAGCTAGAGGAGTATTTAAATAATAATAAAGGTTATGTCATGCCATCTAAATGCTGATAATTTTTTACTAGATGGCGGTTTTATTCAGTTTGGATGATAAAAAAAAACTAAGTAGGTAGATATAAAAATTTTCGTTATAAGTAGGTAGACCATTAGTCCATTGTCCTCAAAGTTAAATAAGTATAATGCTATTACAGTGACGTTCTCGATAGACCTACGCATCAGTGTGAGTTGTGAGATGTGATAGTGTTCGAAGACAAGAAGCAACAATGTGCAGCAAGGAACAGATAAACCACGTGCTTAGCAAGATCAATGTGGTGAGTACTTTAATTTTTTTTAATTTCTTTTATTAATTTTTCTTCTTTTAATTAAAATTTGTTTTGGGGCCACCTTGAAGTGGAGGAATGTTAGTGATTTTTATGAGTGACTATCTTGTGTCCTCTTCACTGGGACTTTTAGCTTATGAGTAATTAAGGATTATACCCTGTGTTGAGGATTTATCTACAAATTCCAAATACCCGCCAATCGTATTTTTCCTGTATTTACAATACAATAATTTTCATTTTCGTTAAACGTCTTACTGTCATACTTAGATTCATCAAGAAATTATTGCTCTCTCAATAAAACTTTTTAATATTAAGGTATAGTTTAAGTAATTAATAAAATGTCCGGGAGTAGGGTAGTTAGGGTTTTTTTTCTGAGACATGCTTTAAAAATAATGTATTTTTATAATATTCTATGGTTTACTATACAATTCTATATAACTTTATCGTAACCAGTCCGCAGTATCTTAATAATTATTAATTGAAAACGAATCATATCAAAGTACTATTTGACCTCCAAAATTATATTTGTTGATTTATAAAACTAACAAATTAATTTAAAACAAATCATAACATAAATCAACCATGCTGCTACAATTAGTGACAATAATTTGGTAATTAAAGAGAATAAATCGAACGTAATAAATCACTTAATACAACCAGTAAGCCTAAAGATAATTGTTACATGCTAATTGGTCGCAATTGGCTATGAATTGCTTTTTTATACGAAGGTTGTACCCCAAGGTTGGATATTGGGCCTAACACTAGAATAGTGATTTGGATGCCATAGGAGTTAGGAGGAAGGAAAATGTTCTCTGTTAACATTGAGCATTGACAAATGGTATTGACTTTGTGACAATATGGCCGACCCTGATTGATGGTCAATGGTATTCATCGTTATTTATTTTGTTGGTAACATCGGTATTATGAAAAAAGGATTCATTACGTAATACCCTATTATTAGTTTGATGCATCGAAATCGGTTCAGCGATTTAGGCGGGAAAGCGTAACTTGTTATTTAAACGTAACTTTACGTTAAAATAACACGTTAGATAAAACAGTTATTTTAATAACTTACGCGCAAAAGGATTTTTATTGTAGATATTTAAAAATAATGACAAATGCTAGCTGTCTCCTTTAAAAGCGTTTCCGTGGCACGGGTTTTCATACAATCTATCGAGTTCAAAGTGCTGCGTACAGCAGCAGCAGTAGCTGTGAACTAGAATAGAAAACGATGCGTAAGCATTCGTAGTTAACACGTTGAATCTCATGGAAGTATCTGTACAGGTGATAAAAAATGTGTGAATCCATACACTAGTATATATACGATGTGATGTGATTTGAAAATAAGTAGGTATATCCACCCGTATTTTTTGCTATGGGGACGTTATTTTCTAGAATTGTTTTCTATGCAACATTTTTTTTCTATCTTTCGTTCTTTTACATCTCTCTTGATCGTCGTACAAAATCAAGTCATTTAGTTGTTTACCCGTGTTCTTTGGACCCAATTGAATTTAGATTGAAGAGTAACTTCTCCCAAAAGTCTTTAAATATAAATTGTAAAAATGCTGATGAACGTATGTTCTGACATTGGCCTATAAATGGCAATGGCTTGAAATACGCCATAATGAAGCGTGAATAATTAGTGAACGTATTGTACTGCAGTGCGGTGGGAATTGTGGGAATGCACCTGCATGCTGGTAGTGCAATAGATACCTTACGTAGCAGTATTAATTCACAATTTTGAATGACTTTTTATTAGGAAACCTTTTTGAAAACAACCGTAATAGTCCCTATTATGATTTATAGAAAATTATGTCTTTCTTTTTAACACGATCACCCCTCAAGGATTTGGTAATTGCAATAAATAAGTCTCCCAGTAATAATAGCGTTTGTTACTTTATTTGTATTTTTCTAATGTTGTTTGTTCAGCCCTCGGGATCGTTTTTTAGCCATGGAGCTATCGATTCCTGTTTAAACAACCCTATGTTTAATAGGCAATAGGGGTCGTGTCAATGACTTTTGGTTAGAATTGTAATGGTTTATGTATCAAACTTTCGTGTTTGTTTACTGTGACAAACTTAATCTTCTAAAGGCACAATTAATGTTCTTACAAAACAAGATTGGTTTTTGTGTATCTTAAAAAGAGTTTTAGGTACATATTTCCGACAGATAGGGCTCAACATGGCCAATGTTTAGCCGGGGTCGCGGGTCAAGCGAAATAAAGAACCGCGGCCTCTGCTTGGAGCAATAAAAGGAACGGGAGGGAGGAGGGGGGTTTAGTCATTAGGAGTCTGACACTCCCTCTCGCCATACCCTGGTCGAGAGAAGTCATATGATGATTTTCCCTTCACAAAAAAGGTACATATTTCCGGCCGGTATTGCGGTCATAGCAACCAGTCATAACCAATGACAGACCGGGACCCGGCTCGGGGCACGATATGCGGGGTATAAACCACCCCGCTCCTATAACTACAATGAGTAGTTTTTTTTTAAATGTGCTAAATATGATTTCAAGATTTTCATCTTATTCGTATGTGTGTGTTTAAAGAAATTGATACACGTTGGGTTTCTGGTACTGTAATAAAGGCACAGAAAATAATAGTTCTTTTAATATCTTAAAAATAGTGACGATCTGTTATAACTGTGTTGTAATATATTATATATTTGTTGTGTTTCTTACCCAAAAAACATCACTTACAACCTTCATAGTAACTGCAACTCAAATCGCAATTAGTATCGATATAAAAATCGATTTCGGTTCGATAGTGCGTCTACTAATCGATTCATAATTTAACAAATGTTTTGCTTATAAAAAATAAATCTAAATATTGATCGTGATCGAATATCGAAGGCTAATTAAACTGTTTTAATTAAGTATGGCTGTCAGTTTGAAATGCATGACTAATAAACATGGACGTAGGGAAGGAGCAGATTTTTTAAATTGTGTATCGAAAGGATCACGTTCTGTCTTTTGCTTTTTAAGTCTATGTACACACCATCGTAAGTAAGTTCCTACATGATAATGCGGACCGGTTTATTTAATCTGAAAAAAAAATGATGTTTTGTATAGAAAACCTTATTTTTTGCATATCCATTGATTTATTTAATTTTTGTTAGGTATGCTTTGTTCAGGGTATTCAAAATGTCATGTAGGTACATATGTTGAAATATTTTTTATCTGATCTAAGTATATTATTAATTAGTACAATTTCCTCAGATTCGTAATAATAATTGGTGTCGCAGACATATTATTTAATCCTATCAGGATTGTATGTCTGCAAGAACTGAGACATAACACCGAAGACTTAAAAGAAAACGGCAAAGATACTTGACCTTGTCCAACACCCTGCGCTTAAAAGTTACACTAGCGCCCTCTGCTTTATGTAGCACTCAAAACTATTAAACAATATTTTAAAAACTCTGTATATCCGAAAATACTGTAAACGTTCGTGAGCTAGTTGCATATTACTTTACCGACTCGTTTCGCTGATAACAAATTGATACTTTATAACGAAATACGAATAAGTGTTAAGTAGAATGCATTATAGGCACGACTTACTGGTTCTATACCTGTTTTTGATAAGAATATTGGCACATTGTTTTCAACGAGTTTATCATAGTGGTAAAGAAATGTTTTATACTTGTTTTATATTAGTGTCTTTTAGTTCGTAAAACAGTACGACAGTTTCCAAGAAGTAGTATGGATTCAATTCACTGCAAAAACATCGTCTAATGTAAAACAATAAAAACTCGTAGTTATATTTCGGCGTATAAGCCTCAAATGTACCCGTTTTAAGCAATTAATACATTTTATCAATAATTTTCAAACATTTTTGGTCACAAATACTCACATAACGCGATACATACACAAACAAAATCTTTGTAAGATAATACTCAAATATTACATTCAACGCATCACGCCTCGCCGATCACAGAAGAACCAATGAAGCATTCATACATACAGACAGACAAACACAAATACAACCTGAATATGCACATAGGTAGTAACACAAAGCTGTGCATATTCATACTAGCAATCCCTTAAGATTAGAATATCGATCAATATGTATTTAATCGTTACATTAGATGCTGAATAAATATGATAATTGATGTAATTGATGTTTGTCCACGTTTGAATAAGCTATTAACATGTCATTTGGTTCTCAAAATGTATTTGCAACACCAAGAGTGTTGCAGTGTAGTAAATAGAATGCATAATTATCTTTTTAAGAAAGGAAACGCCCTCGCGCGTGGCATACGAAGCTAGAGGATTATTTTCTATCTGATAATAAACCTATCTGTTGCTAAAATATATAATTTGCGTAAAGACTAGTATGTGCATTTGACCGAATGTAAATTGGCATTGGATTTGGATTTGCCTGGAGGTTTCTAGAACTAACAATCCGAACATCCGATGATTCGTATGTGCGATAAACTAATTTAAAACGTTTAAGTGGCAATGAAAAAATGATTAAAGAATGAAAAAAATAACATAGAATTTCACTAAAATGCTAGCTTTTATACGTTCTTCGATTTTTTTTTTGGTATCCTACTTTCTTCCATTTTGTTATATGTTACTTGCGTCAAGAACGATTTGCAAAAAGCGATTACTGCTTGACCAAAGTTTAGATATATGTACTTCCTATTTTTGCCACAATATACATAATATTATTACGTAAAACAAAAGGAAAATAATAACCGCAGAACATTTTATTCTAATAGCTCTATATTAGGATACATTGCTCGAACACTAAACTTGATTCGTATCTATTAAATGGAAATCGAACCGGAAAAACGGACGAACAATGCGTCCAACGGTACCACCATGCGCAGATATAGTTCACAATTATTTATTGCTTTTACAGCTAACTGTACCTACATTGTTGTAATGAGGCTTTAAATATGTGCTAAATAGTCGATCGATTGGATAGTTAAGGGTCTTGATATGTTTGGTCCCCTTGGTCCTGGGTGGGCTTCCATTAACCTGAATC